AAAAAAAAAAACATAAACAAAAAGAGAGAAAGTTATCTATAAAAGTACAATAATTTTTTCTAGAACTGAGGATACAAATTCCCTGATCTAAATGGCTCATAAGGCCAGGTGCAGTGGCTCCCATCTATAATTCCAGAACTTATGAGACCAAGGTGGGTGGATTGCTGGAGCTCAGGAATTCAAGACAGTCTAAGCAAGAGTGAGACCTCATCCCTAAAAACTAGCCACATGTTGTGGCAGGCTACTGGGAGGCTGAGGCAAGGGCATCACTTAAGCTCAAGATTTAGAAGTTGCTGTGAGCTGTGACCCCACAGCATTCTACCCAGGGAGAAAAAGTGAGACTGTGTTTCAAAAAATATAAAAATAGGGCAGCGCTCATAGCTCACTGGGTAGGGCACCGGCCACAGACACCCAGGTTGGCGGGTTTGAACCTCACCTACGCCTGCTGATAACTGCGACAACAACAACAAAATAGCTGGGCATTGTGGCAGGTGCCTGTAGTCCAAGCTACTTGAGAGACTGAGGTAAGAAAATCACTTAAGCCGAATAGTTTGAGTTTGCTGTGAGCTGTGACGCTATGGCACTCTACTGAGGGTGACATAGTGAGATTTTGTCTCAAAAATGAATAAATAAATAAATAAGGCTCATAACTTCATACCAGCACTGTGAGTGGAAAATGTTCCTCAACAAGACATATCTTCATCAAAATTCAGAACCCAGGGATGTTAAAGAGAAGATTCTAAAAGCTTTTGGAGAAAAAGAGAAAGAATAGTTTTAGACTCCATGGTTATATTGGAAACTAAAAGGTAAGGGAGAAATGCCTTCTCAGCTGAGATGAAATTACAACCCAGAATTTTTTGGGGGAGGAGAGGGGACCAAGTCTCACCTTATTGCCCATGCTAGAGTGCCATGGCAACAGCAATCTCAAACTCCCGGACTCAGGTGATCCTCCTGCCTCAGCCTCCTAAGTAGCTGGGAGTACAGGCACCAACAACTGCATAATTTTTCATTTTTGGTAGAGATGGTGTCTCATTCTTGCTCAGGCTGTCCTCAAACTCTGAGCTCAAGGGATCCTCCTGCCTCAGCTTCCCAGAGTGCTAGGATTACAAGTGTAAGCCACAAGCCCAACCCCAACTTATAATAATAATCTTAGCCAAACCATCAATCAGGGTGAGAGAAGAATAGTCCCATACATATCTTGTTTCAAAAATGTTATTTCCCATGTATCTAATGTCAGGTAGTTACTGATGTGTTTCACTAAAAGGGAGCTCCATAGGAAGAATGAGAAAAACACAGGATCCAGGAAACAGAATTTATAATACAAGGAAGAGGGGAAGGGATTTCCCAGGAAGAAAGCTGTGCAATAAGCCAAGAGCCAACTAGTTCACCCAGCAAGAGCACGTGGAAGGTCCAGAAAGGATGTTAGCAAGTTAAACAAAAAAGCCCATTTAGATACTACCTGGTGAGAGGAAAAGCAGAAAGTGGTGAGGAAGAGACTGGAAGCAGAGGTTGAGCCGAATCATCACTGCAGTGCTTTGTAGGTCCTATCAAGGTTTGGGAGTTTTATCCCAAGTGTAATGGAAAGAAATTTAAAAGATGGCATTAAATGAGTGACATAATTTTAGAATGTCTCCATCTAAAGAGACATTGGATGGAGAGAGAGGGGTGCAAAAAGCAGAAAGGAGAATAGCTAAGAGGATATTTGGGGCATGCATATATTATGTAATTCAGAGTTGAGGATAACAGAACTGTAGCCAACCCTTCTTAGAAGTTGGAGAAAAATAGAGATTGATACGTTTAAGGAGATGTGAGGCCAGAGGGTTATCTTTTTTGTGTAATGTTAGTTTCTTAAAAGGTTGTAGATACTGGAGCTGTGGTTCATAAACTTTGCTACACATTGTAATCACCTGTTAAGACTTTTAAAAATACTGATGCATAGGATCCATCCCAAACCAGTAAATCTGCTTCCATCCCCCACCCATCACCCCCTAAAAGGCATTGATTTTATCATCCCAGTGCCTGGAATATAATATATCCTCAATTCATGTTCGTTGTTGTAGAAAAAAATTGCTGGCAGATGATACAGACCACAGGAAATCACTGTATGTATTGTAAAGTTCATGTGATCTTCGTGTGAAAAGGATTATAGTCCAATTTCCTTACGTTGAAATGGAGAAACTGAAACCTGAGAGGGGAATTAAACGCTAATGTCTCTCGCCTTGGAAGTGGAGAATCAGGATGAGAACCTAATATTCTAACTCCCAGATGTTTCCCTGCCTTTCAACAACCTAATTTTGAGTACTCCCCAAACCTACTCTTCCATCAAGATCCAGGTCTAGTAATACCTCCCCCTTCCAATACTTGATTTCCTCATTCACGAACTGACCCTGCTGTCTCTTTCATCCAACCCGTAGTCACCCCCAAACCCGCCTCTGCCCCAGATTAATCGTTCCCTTATCACCGCTCAACCCCAGCGCCAGAAAATGGCCAGTAAAGCCCGGAGCCTCTCACTGCGCTTGCGCTATTCGCGAGAGTGACTCTGTTGCCATAGCAACCGGAGACAAGCGAATCTGCCTGCAGTACGAAAAGGAGAAGAGTTCATAGTATAGTTCTTTCGTGTATATGCTTTCCTTACCGCTTCCCGCGCCTGATGCGTGAGTTTCAGGGTCTGGTAAGAAAGCTCCATCAGACACCGTGTTAGGACCCGCGAAGAAGGAGAAAAGCAGCCAGTTGCAGAGGAACGCGGCTAGGAGAAATCTGACGCTTAACCAGCCCGCCCCTTTCAGGATTGGCTAGAGTCCAGACAGGCCAGCCAATCATTGGTCACAGTTGGATTCTCCATCATGCCAATCAATGCTAACATAAACACTTTTGACCCAGAGCTTTTTGGTCAATCTAGAGACCGAAAGGGGATGACTGGTGGTGCATAGGGCGGGGGTTGCAATTGTTGGGGTTTCTTTATTTCTGTTTCTAAAATGTAAGTTGGGCTGGGGGCCTATAGCTGGTTAGAGTGCTGGCTACATGCTCTGGGGCTGACGGGTTCGAACCCAGCCCGAGCCTGCTAATTAAATAAATAAATAAATAAATAGACTGCTAGACTAGTCTGCCTGCTAGACTTCTTCATATGTTAACTAGTCTGTCTTCAATGTTTTCTCTTCCGTCTCTTTCTATGAATCCCATTCCAAACCATCTCCTCATCATAACTTTGACCTTTTTCATGAATTTTCTCTTCTTAGAATATAAAAATATTTAAGTCTCTTTAATCTTAAAAAATGTTCTCATAATTGTAGAATTGAATTACTTCTCTCCCATTCACTGCTTCCATCCCCCACCCCTCTGAAAGGAATAGCTATCTTCTTCCCCACTTCCTCATCTGCTGTTAATTTCTCAATACATTCAATGACTGCTTCTTTGAAGCAGTACTTGACAGAGTCATCATCCTAATTGGGAGATCAAATTATAGATTATTTTACTCTCTTTATCTTATTTGAACATGGCACCAGTTGAATCGTTGACCACTTTTATTAGTGATGACAGTTATAATTTATTAAGCATTTAGGCTAGGCATGGTGGCTATCTCCTGTAATCCCAGCACTTTGGGATGCCAAGGTGGAAGGATCATTTGAAACCTTCACAGAAGAGTTCACAGGACCAGCCTGGGCAATGTCGCGACCCTTCGGGCTCCTGTGGCCCTGGTCTCGGTTAGCGCAGGAAGGAACCAGGCTAGAAGCGGATTAGAAGAACAAGCTTGGCTCGGCACCTATAGCTCAACCGGCTAAGGCGCCAGCCACGTACACCTAAGGTGGCGGGTTCGAATCCCCAGCCCGGACCCGCCAAACAACAATGACGGCTGCAACCAAAAAATGGCCAGGCGTTGTGGCGGGCGCCTGTGGTCCCAGCTACTTGGGAGGCAGAGGCAGGAGACTCGCTTGAGCCCAGGAGTTGGAGGTTGCTGTGAGCTGTAATGCTATGGCACTCTACCCAGGGGGACAGCTTGAGGCTCTGTCTCAAAAAAAAAAAAAAGCTGGTTCATGCTTATAGTCCTAGCTAATCTGGAGGCTGAGGGGAAAGGATTACTTGAGCCCAGGAGTTGGAGATTGCACTGAGGTAAGATCACACCATTGCACTACAGCCAGATCTTGTCTCTAAAAATAAATTATTCACATAATTATTTATTAACAAGACAATATATTTGTGATTTAGCTGGTGGTCTAATTTAATTGTAACCTGGCATGGAGTAGTTATTAATGCTCTCAATTTACAGTTGTGGATACAGATTTAAAGATCTAAATTAGACAGCTCTAAGTCATCCAACAAGCTAGAGTTAGAATGGAAGCCTAAATCTCCTAACTAAAGCTGGTGTTCTTTTCACTATACCTTGCTGCCACCCTCCTGTTTAGTCTCACCTGTCATTCCCAGCTGGACACAGACACCTCCCACCTCCATTCCAACAAAAGTTGGAAGCCAGCCTTCCAGGATAATTCTTTGTTTGTTTGTTTGTTTGTTTTTTGAAGAAAGGTCATGCTCTGTTGCTTGGGCCAGAGTATATGGTGTCATCATAGCTCACAGCAACCTCACACTCCTGGGGCTCAAGCAATCCTCTTCCTTTATCCTCACAGTAGCTGAGACTATAGGCACACACCATCATATTTACCCCAGGCAGAGCTTAAGTGGGAAAATAAATTAGTTCCTGATTCCACAACATACCTTTCATATTTCACTTATCACATTATTTTGTTGATTTATGATTTTCAAAAAGTTAAAAACTTCATTATCTGCAGGAAATTGATGGCAGGACATATACACACAGAGATATTAAAGTCAGGAATGTGCAAGTCCCTTGTATAAAATGACATCATATTTGCATATAACCTATACACATCTTCCCCTATACTTTAAACTGTTGGGTTTCAAGGCAGCTGCCTGTCTCCTAAAATGCCTGGATTTCAAGCAGCTGCCTGGGTCCTCAGTTCTTGGAGTCCTCTTGGTTCAAAAATAACCAGACAGGTTGGTCGCGGTGGCTAACGCCTGTAATCTTAGCACTCTGGGAGGCTGAGGTGGATATTACCTGAGCTGACAGATTTGATATCAGCCTGAGCCAGAGCAAGACCTTGTCTCTAAAAATATGTAGGCATTGTGGAGGGTTCCTATAGCCCCCAGCTACTTGGGAGGCTGAAGCAAGAACCGTTTGAGCTCAGGAGTTTGAGGTTGATGTGAGCTAAGAATCCACGGCACTCTACCAAGGGTGACAAAGTGAGATTCTGTTTCCAAAAAATAAAGAAAAATAATCAGACACCCCAAAGTAGGCAAGCATGAAACAAAGTTTTTTGAGGAAGGGAAAGTTAGGCTTACAGAGTAAGAAAGTTTACAAACCAGGATACACTCACCATGGACAACAAGGGGCCTGCATTGCCTGGGCAACTAGACAGAAAGGGTTATCTCCCATAGTTCTCTCTCTCTCTCTCTCTCTCTCTCTCTTTTTTTTTTGAGACAGAGACTCACTTCGTCACACTCAGTAGAGTTCCATAGCCTCTTAGCTCACAGCAACCTCAAACTCTTGGGCTTAAGTGATTCTTTTTCTTTTGCCTCAGCCTCCCAAGTAGCTGGGACTACATGTGCCCTCCACAATACCCGGCTATTTTTAGAGACAAGATTTTGCTCTGGCTCAGACTGGTCTCAAACCTGTCATCTCAGGTAATATCCAGCTCAGCCTCCCAGACAGCTAGGATTATAGGCATAAGCCACTGAACCTGGCCACAGTTCTCTTTTATACCACCTAGGTCTGATCTAACTCATGGTTCAGAGGCCAACTTGGCACCAGAGTCTTACCGTGCATATGGACCTCCCATGAGCCCGTCAGAGAGCCCTAGGTAGGCAAGACTGATGTGAGCCACATGATAATTATTCTGCTCTAGGTCACCTTCAAACCTCTATTGTACCTGTTGTTGCAGTGGTTCTCAACCTGTGGGTCTCGGCCCCTTTGAGGGGTCTAACGACCCTTTCACAGGGGTTGCCTAAATACATCCTGCATATAAGATATTTACATTATGATTCATAACAGTAGCAAAATTACAGTTATGAAGGAGCAATGAAAAAAAATTTTATGGTTGGGGTCACCACAACATGAGATATTAAAAGGTCGCAGCATTAGGAAGGTTGAGAACCACTGGGAGGCTTCTACATCATTTTGCAGTTGGCATGCTAAGTTCTGATTGGTAGATTGGTAGATTAGTAGGGAGATCCCTCCTCCTCAAGTGTGAGCAATTGCTTGGGAGAGAATTAAGGTTGGTGGGCACCGAGATAGGGCCTGGGGGCTCTGCCTTGTCCTCCTTCCCAGGACACCCTTTCTTAAATAACTACCTAACAAAATCCTCTTTAGATCACTTATAATATCTAACACAAAGTAAATACTATCTAAATAGTTGTCATACTACATTTTTATTTCTGTTTTTACTATTGCTTTTTTATTTTTATTTTGAATTTTTTTTAGTCTTCCACTGATTGAATCTCTGAATGTGAAACTTGTGGACAAGGAAGGCTGATTGCATAAGATTTCTAGGTTAGACACAAAACTGGTTAATGTATAAAAGGCAAAAAACCCATAAGCTTTGAAAAATTTCTTTTCTAAGGGACACAAATGTATTAGTTAATATATTATTTGATTAGGTTAGCATCCTCAATTAACAGTAAGTATCAAAGTTAGGCAAAGATACATCCCACTAGCTTTGACCATTTATGTTTAATTTTTAACTAATTCAAATAAGATAACATTTTAAAAATTAGTTCCTCAGGCCAGGCATGGTGGCTCATGCCTGTAATACCAGCACTCTGGGAGGCAGAGGCAGGTGGATTGCTTGAGCTCACAGCTTCCAGATCTCTCTGAGCCAGAGCAAGACCCCCACCTCTAAAAAATAGCCAGGCATTGTGGTGGGCGCTTGTAGCCCCAGCTACTTGGGAAAGTGAGCCAAGAGAATTGCTTGAGCCCAGGAGTTGAGGTTGCTGTGAGCTATGATGCCACTGCACTCTACTGAGGGTGACAAAGTGAGACTCTGTCTCAAAAAAAAAAAAATCATTTCCTCAGTCACACTTGCCACATCTCAAATATTCAATTGCGACACATATGTAGTGGAAATGTTACCAGATGAAGAGGGTCCAACCACCTGTCACTGTCAGGCAATATGCAGAGACGGGGATAGGTCCACCAAACTTTGTCAGAGGGCCGGGATCTGGAGAACAGTGAGAGTAGCCTCTCCAAAACAGTTCTGATCTTCCATTTCCAACATTACAGTTTATTGTTTTTTGGCTTATGAGACAGAGTCCCAGCTACTCGGGAGACTGAGGTAAGAGAATCGCTTGAGTGTGAGGTTTGCTGTGAGCTATGAGGCCACGACACTCTACTGTTAAAAACAAACCTTCAGGCTCGGCGCCTATAGCTCAACCGGCTAAGGCACCAGCCACGTACACCTAAGGTGGCGGGTTCGAGTCCCCAGCCCGGACCCGCCAAACAACAATGACGGCTGCAACCAAAAAATGGCCAGGCGTTGTGGCGGGCGCCTGTGGTCCCAGCTACTTGGG